CTAATATTGTGAACTGATCAATCACCCACAAGTTCTCCATCAACAGAGATTATTCAACATTCCTTAAAGACTGAAATTGATCCAGGTACATTTTCCCCTCTAATTTATATCAAAATAAAAAGAATCCCACTTTGACAGTTATTGTCCTTCTATGCCATCTCTTTGGAGACGGGTGCTACAAATTTCAGATCTTGTGGTGGGTTTTGTGGGGTGAAGAAGGGGATTAAGGATTGAGTAATTTATTTACAAGACTAGAAAAACAAGACAAAAGAGGCACATTTTCACTGAAATATTCGTATCATATAAGATAATTTGTGGGAGTTGAACACAGTACCATATATATTTTTTCAGGATTTCAACCACCCCCCCCCTAAAAAAAAAAAGGATACTCCAGAATGATTGAAGGCATCACCCTTTGCACAATCAAATACGTTTGCCTGAAAATTAGTCCTAACTCACAAGAAACAAAGTGATCATGGAGGGACATGTAGTCCCTAAACAATCTTTATGTGGGGAAAAAGTAAAGTGAATACTGAGGGCTGTGCCTATTATTTATGTAAAGTTTAGACTTTAGATGACATGCTTAAAACAAATTTCATTAAAATTCTTCCAAAAGTTCCTTGTGAAAAAGGTTACAAGAAGTTGTTTACGACCTTCTGTAGAACCCTACTTAAGAATTAATCAAGACCCTCTTTACTTTTAACCTATACTACTGTAACTGTATAATTGACTAAAAGGACATTATCCAATGTTGGTCCTGTAAGTCTGTTGTCTTGGGAGGGGTGGATTGGATATGGACCTAACCTTTGGCATTTTTTACGCATGGTGGCCACTCTCAGACTTGAACCTCTGTTCTCACACTTGTCAACCTTTGATTTTACTGTTGCAACGAGCAATCTATAATAGACTAAGACCAAAATACCCTTAATGGGCACATGGAAGGTAACATGGCTTTTAAATAATTATGGATGACTAGAATACACCTAGTGAAAACATGAGGGGGTTACATGATTTTAAAAGAAAATGGACTCTAAAGCCTAGATTTTCCAATTATTTATGGAAGGCTACCAAGCATAAAAGATGACATCTAAGTCTATCTTAGATAGAACCAAATCTAGATAGCTAATGTTTGCAACAACAAGTATGAATCTAGCTAATTCATCATTTATAGTTATTTATTTTTTCATATACGATTAAAAAAATGGGTAATTGCTTAGTGCAATGATAAATTCTCATGATCACAAGTATGAGAATGTGGGTTTTAGTGAAAAAAAAAAGAAAAATAAAATGCAGAAATTTAGGTCCAAATCCAGTACACCCCTCCCAAGACCCCAAATAACTGGGACTAGAATTGGTTAACGTGATTTTGGATGAGTAAAGCACCCTTATGTCTTAAAATTGGCGCCAATTAATGGGTTCAATTAATACTAAGTGCTTTAAATTGATTGTCTTAAGAAATACATGACCTATATTGTATTGGATGATAGCTTGGTTGTCTTTATCTCCGAAAAGAATTAATTAAGCTATACTTTCTTTTTACTGGTAACATATAAATATATAGGTAGGGAAGAATTGGAATGCACCTTGCTATGCGGTCTTTTTGGATCTAGACTTCGCTATACTCTTTCTTTTAACTTTACTGTATTTTATTAATAAATTCTCTTCCCATATATTAATTATTAAGGCTGCAATTTGAGTGGACACAACCTGATATTTTGCATGGTTTGGCTTGAATTTTTGGTCTTTGGTCTGGCTTGGGCCAAAAAACTCAGGCCTGACCTAAAGTTAGGTTGGTCTTGACATTGTATGATATACACACCTGTATAGATGTGTACCTATTTATGATATATGTATATTAGAGGGTGGGCCTTGGTGCAATGCTTAGGTTGCTCCATTGTGACCTTGGTGACCAGGGTTCAAATCTTGGAAACAGCCTCTTTGTATGTCAGGGGTAAGGCTGTGTACATCTGTCCCTCCCTAGACCCTGCATTGGTGGGAGCCTTATGCATTGGGCTGCCATTTTTATATATGTATGTATATTACATATTTATACTATCATATACACACTAGAGTATACTTAGTTATTCACAGTGTTTGTATATGATTATCCTAAATTCACACCCCAGCACAAGCATGCACAAAAATATACACTTGTTATGCATGATATTTATACAAAAACATCTTTTTTCTAATTATGTATATGCATTTATTAATGGACTTTGTGCATATTTTCAAAATACATTCAAAAACCTTTCAAACCTAACCAAGCTCTTGAGACCAGCTAAAGTTTGTTCAGTTAAGCTTGGGTTGGGCCTAGGTTGGCAAACTCGAGCTTGACCTCGGGTTGGATCAGGCCTGAGCCCAAGGTCTAGGTCTTAAGGTTGGGCTTGTGTTAACCCACAACCCTATCCAACCTGCCCAAGTTGCGCTCTTGTTCATTATAAATATCTCATTTTTAAGCTATTGAGTGCAACAACTAGTAAATTGCCTGAATGTATTTGGGATGATAGCTTTACTTTTCCTTATGTTTTTCTGTATTTTAACTAAGCAATTGGTGAGCATACTTGTATCTACTTATCCTTGTTTGACAGGTTATGGATTCACTTCTGCTCTGCATATGTTTTCACTGGAGTTGTCTGCTATCTTCTTTATTATGTAAGTCATTCTTTGCATACTTACTTTGGAAAGGTGTCCATTCTTTATTTATTTATTTTTGATAAATAGTGTCCATTCTTTATTTTATAACATGAAATATATACACACTGAGACAGATAGATAGGTAGGTAGGTCAGTAGGCCAAAAGTGATGTTTTGCAAAGACGGGCACCTCTCTTTACTTGTGTACAATTATAGGGGCATGTTGTAATGTGTAGCGGCCTAGTAGGGGCATTTCTGCCTTTTCCCATTGTTATAAGCTGTCGCCCTAAGTACAAATACTAACTTAGGTGCCACCAGCTACTGATTTTGAATAGATTTTTCTTTTTTCCTCTCTCTTTCTCCTCCACTCTTCTCTCTTCTCTCTTGTTCTGTCCAACTACATGGTATCTGTTGAAAGTGTTAAAATAATTGATTTTATGTTTGTTAGGGTATGTTTGGTTGATTAAAGCCTTTTTTATTTTAATCTATTATTGTACTATCACTTA